GGGACAGCTTTTGAATTAAATATCGGGCATGGGACCAACACACGGAAATGCAAGCAATCGAATGCCACCTCAACTCCCCCTGGTATAATAAATTTCACTAGCAAGCGTGCGTGCCGTACGGCACACGCGTGTGGAGCCGTCAGGGCATCGAACTGATTAGGCGGTTGCGGCGGCTAGTCTTGGCTAATCGGGCCATCGACACATACAGTCGTCTGCACCCTAAAACACAACCACTTATCACGGCCATATAAGCAAGTATATTAAGCTACCTCCGTGTGTTCTACATAACCGTTAACCATCCAGCCTAGATGTTCAGCTGATGCCGCGCAAGGGCGGCGTCCGCGAGGTAAGAGAGCCAAAGATTTGCTTGAAAGATCTGCCTTCCATCGCGCCTCCCATGGTGACACAGCAGCTGCGCCGCAGTCACTGTTTTATGGCCTCTACATTCAGGAGCCGACGCGGGAGGCCATCGTTCGAGCCAGGGTAAACATGGGATTTGGCCACCGGCATAGCTTATTAAAAATGTTCCTTTCTGTAGTAGCTGGTACACAGTACGGCACACGTATCAACTACAAATACGCGCGAAGCGCTTCACTAGCATCTCGGGAGGCCTTTTTGTCGGCCAGCCACTACAATTGGTATTGAGACCTCGTACATGTTACGACCCTGTCGACTGTCATTTCCACGAATAATCGTGGCCAGATGTAGCTGTGGTTGTCTGGGAAGACTCTGTGCCTGAAAAACCTAAAGATGGCTAGGTGCATGTGTGGGATGGTCGGCTGATGATTGTGACCGTAAGGGCCCGAGACGGATCCCGTCACAGGGGGAGGAATGTAGTAGCTGGTACACAGTACGGCACACGTATTAACTACAAATACGCGCGAAGCGCTTCACCAGCATCTTGGGAGGCCTTTTCATAGTCATGCTCCTTAGATGTAACCTTGGATACCCTCATGCAGCTGAAGAAATGACCACGATATTTGGAGTGGACGTGATGCTTTGGCAACATTTTACATAGTCTACATACAGGCTCATCGTATAATACGTAGGACTACATGGCCTGCAGACACCCCTTAATTTTACAGGCGTGACACATCCGTGGATTACAAGTTGAATGAATAATGAGGAATTCATGCTCGGACTTTTCCGTACGGTAGGCGCACGGCACTGGTACCGCGAAACCCATGATGACGTGGCAGGCGCCGCGACGTACGGCAATATAGTAGTTTTTGCTTACTAGCCTTTAACTGTAGATGCTTACTCACGTCCGTTAAAGCATGTATGAATTGAATCAATATTTGGCTTTTCTCTCCAAACGAATTTCCGCAACCGCAAATACTGGTTAGCTGATGGGAGGTTGACGTATGTCCCCATCCATATCTTTGCGTCGTGGTTGAGGGCAAAGTCCCCGGTCGGTGGACGGTGGTGACCTGGGATTTTGTTGATCTTGCGAGCCGACCAGGAATGGAATTGAGCCGCCGTCGATCTGTCACATTCCGCTGGATGCCGGTGTTGGGTACGGAACCTAAGCAATCCACTGAGAAGTTGTGACTGGATGAGGGTGCCCCGAAATACCGGGGAAGATAGGGTTTCGCCGGGTAGCGGCCACGGGTGGAGATGTGCCGCCCTGATCCCCACATCATATCGTTGACGCCGGCTGCACGTGCTGCACCTCCGGGGTCCCCGACAGGACAAGTTTACCCGCAATGGCAGTAAATCGAATAATGACCCAAGCAGCTGTCTGCCCCGAAAGCCAGCTGCAGTTCGACTGTTGTTTAAGCAGCCCCTCGCACAAATGTGTCCGGTCGTACTCTGCCGAATAAAACATCCGTACTAGACGCGAAAGCCAGGCGCGAAATTTATCGTGCGGATGCGCGCGTTCAATTCTCAAATGCGTCTGTAAAAGTGTATGTAATTTTTTCGGCGAAAGGCCGCTCATCAGGGCATGTTGGCCGCAGTCACAAGCGGCATGCATCTCGGACTTTTGGCTGGCTGCTTAGCCTGAGCCGAATAAGATATGAAAAGACATGAAAGCCAGGGAACGAGCCGAAACTTGACCAGGCCTGCGGAAACTTTTCGTAATCGGGAGGCCCTTTGCGGAAAGGCTGCGGAAACTGCGGAAAGCTGCGAAAACTATAAAATGAATATGTAACGATGTTTTTTAGCTCTTCTCAGTGTGGCGATAACATGGACAGTCTGAAACCAGCTTGTGGCAGTGCGGTTCTGTCCGGTGGGATCTAGAATCTGGTGGATTCCAATCGTGCTCGAAGGTAGAGCCACGTATTACTGGGGGTGGCGGGTGCCAAGCGATCAACTGTTGTGTGCCGACACCCTTGACGGCGTTCACCCTGCCCCCTTCAAGCAGCCCGCCTCTCTTTGAACCCTGAGACCCCGGGCCTGAGCAGCCCTATCGTATACCACCCCCATAGTGTTGTTGGCTGACGGATTGCTCTGGGATGCTCAGAAATTGCCACTCGTATGTTACATGGGTAAGGGCCCGGGGAGCCCTGAAACACTGAATAATAATCGTCTCCCTGTCGGTTGCGGAGCAGTGACATGTCTGCAAGGAGGGTAGGATTCGGGCTGGAATTAGGGAAGAGCTCTGTCGCAGAATTAGCCTGGATTTTATTCCTGACAAAAGAATTGGTCTGCCGAGGTCTGGAATTGTTCTGGCGGACCCGCCGGAGGTATTCGAATTGCGCTGTGGAGCCTCGGAATTGGGCTGTGCTGCGCCTGAATTGGCCTGTCCGGGTGTCGAATTGGCCTGTCCGGGTGCCGAATTGGCCTAACAGGGTATTGAATTAGCCTGACAGGGTATCGAATTGACCTGTTCGGGGTGTCAAATTGGCCTGACAGGGTATCGAATTAGCCTGACAGGGTGTCGAATTGGCTGTCAAGTTGGCAGGATTGGCTGGGGCTGGCATCCAAAAGCACATGACTTTTAAGGAATTTACAGAAAAACTTTGCAAGAGGACCGCTTACAAGTGCCTCATGTGTGTATTAGATTCGATCCCACGACATGGAGTGGGAAAACTTGCACACCTGGTTACCGTACTCTGGCACTACTACTACTACCGGAGGCAAGCACTCAGGGCCACGACTGCATTACCCAGTCAAGTCAGCTGCCGAGGTCCCACTGTTTTCCCACCACACTTTATCGACAGTCCGTCCAGTTTATCCCACAACACTCGTATGCATGAATAGGTTCGGGTGGAAACAATGACAAATCTCTGATAAACCGCTAAACTCAGTACCACGAGCTACATTGAAAACAAATGAAAATGCAGATGTCTGCCGAGAAGAATATGTTCGCCATATGCAATCTATGCCTTAATCCATCGAGCTCTCCGTTGGGCGGGGCATGGCCCATGAAGTCGCCCCCGGTATTCCGCCCATACAACCAAACACTGACACAAAACGTTGCACGTCTGGGCCCATGTAAACCACGACACTTCCGTGTGGATTGGCTACCCGCGCTCCCCATGTCAGGGGTCCTCCCTCCTGCTGTTGACTCCCGGATTGCCCACGCACAAACGCCAAACGTTGGCGCAGAAAACAGACAGGCCATTGTAGTATGGCATCAAACCACGCATAACCCACAGCGGCTTTCAGCAGCAGTACTGCTTGGTGAATGTGACCAGCCGTGTACTCTGTTGCGCATCTCTGGAAAAACAGGCTCTGATAGCTTGCACCACCGTGCACCCCAAAAGGCGGGTTGACAAACACATTGCCCATCCACGCGTTGCACTCCAACAGACCATCGGATTCCATATCGTAATACACTGTCGCCCCAACACGTGTGTTCGCAGCCGCGGACGAGCATGGGTCCAGGTCGATCCTGCCAGGAGTGAACACCTCGCGCACCAGCTCTATGATACTCAGTGGGGTGAACCACTCCGGACTCTCACTGGAGAGAAACAGGCGCACATTCCCACCCCCTCCGCTTCGAACCATATGGACTCCCTCACCAGACTCGCTATCGCTGATATCCATGTCGCCACGTCGGGGCTGACGATGCGCTGTGCCTCCGGATCCATGTTGGGACCAACGGTGCGCGCTCCAGGTGCAGGAGTGGGTGAAGTGCGCGGTAAGATGCGGCGCCCACTGTCTAAGGCATTGGGCTGCTGCTCTCGCCGACGTGTGCGCCTGTGCTGAAACTGGCTGTAGAGGCGCTGATACTCCTCCTCTGCCGCCTCGTCCGACATGCCATATAGATGCATGCGCATGTCAGGTGGCCAGGCACAGCTGACGTCTCGCACTCCAGGTGGTGGCATGGGCCGCGCGACAAGGCCACCCTGCTGGCTGAGCCGCTGTGTCTCTTGCTTGCACGCCATCATGTGCTGGCGTGTTTTGACGTGGTTGATAATATTCTCGATGTTGCCAGTCTTAGCACCGATGAACCACCCCCTGATGCCGCCGCTGATGCAGCATGCATATGGGTCTATACCGCCAAGCTCTGACCAGTTTGTTTTGAACTCGCCTATACAGGGTTGTAAAACAAGGGGGCATATCTGTTGTCATATGGTATGATGTTTCATAGACGTCGGTATGTATAACATTATGCAATTGGGTGGGTGGGGTGAGGTGGGTTCCTCCTTTCTAGGTTGCCCACTCTTCCCTACCACACATCTCACGTCGCCACTTACCAGTAGCACCACGCGACTTGACGCGGGGTGGCACATCCTCTGCTTCGGTGATGCCGGCTGGTGCACTCATCGGGACCACAGTTCCGCCGCGTCCTCGACGGTGCCAGTCTCCGCGTCCCTGTGTCCCTGATCCTCCACGGCCCCCTCCGATGCCGTTTTGATCTTGAACAAGAGGGATTTAGCGTCCGAGACGGTAAGGCCCGGTACATCCC